TATAGAATATATGATCAATCGCTTAGAAATGAAAAGATAAATTGATCTTAGATGACAGGTAAAATAGTTGAGAACAACAAATGTTGCTCAATTCCCCTCCCCATATGCAACGAGGACCTCTTATCTCTCGGAAAGAAACTGACATCTGACTTGCACTCTAGAATCATATACTGCCGTGATAGTTCTCCCTGGTTCTCATTCGCAAAAGGGAATATCATTATGCATCTCCCAGAAAAATATAATGATGCCCAAAAACCAACAGAATCCTCCGCTAACGTCGGCTTTTTCGTTTGTCCCCACATGCAAGTACAAAAGGCCCTATTGCACTTAAACAGAACAGCTTGTTCACTTTAAGAATGTGTCTTATTTGATTTGTAAACAATTCATTTGACATCCAAACATAATGGTGCATTGATCCAGCTATTTGTTTTAGAGATAATTTAAAAAATACAAAGACAAATTCTCAATATGAAGAATCTGTTCTGTTGCAATAGTGTATTGTTTAAGTAACTTGGGCTCTATCATGGAGAGGTCCACACTAACATTCTGGTGAGAGAAGCCACATTAGCACAAACATAACAGAGAAGATCATCTTTCTTAGAGATCGAGCTGTAATATAGCATTTTCCAATTCGGGTATGTTCTCGCTCTCAAGCTCATCTGTTTCCCTCAGAAGGGACTGCAAAGCATTCAGACTTTCAGTGCAAACTGTGCAGTAAGGATTGTTTTTGAAGAGTTCTATTAGCATTTCATCTGAATTTTCCACCTACGTTGCCCTGAATGCTTTGGACACAGGTTGTTGCAAGGCGACGATTAATGCAATGATTGATGTTAACAGTTGTGTTTTCGTTCTCTAGCTTGGTAATACCATTCTTTCTTCCTAGCATCACACAAGGTCTATCACTGGCGATTGATGTCATCTTCCTTAAAGACAAGTGAAACGTAGACTTACACAATCAGTCTTGTTCCTGACAGAACTACCATCCCCTCCAGTTGTGTTCCACTTCAGACACGGCTAGATATCAAGACATGGTTTCAATATGGCTGCCATGTACAAAAAAAAGCCATCAAATGCCGTTGATGACAGAGAGTTCCTATACGCTGTACCGCGAGTTGCCTCCCGTTGAACGGCAAAGGGCAGTAGCCGTTTTAGTAAACTAAGAGTTTCCTTCCATTGAACATGAATTGGCAGCATGGCGTGATATGCACAGAAACAGGCACGGCGTTCTGCAAAAAGGGTATGGCGTCAGAATAGACCGCTTGACTAAATTCATAGCCATTCCGCCATGATTATTTTTTTTCTATAAAACCATTGCGAGTTAGAGGTATATTTTCTATTAATCGTTAACATTTTGTTGACAATTTGCAGAAAATGAAGGGATATCATGCGGAGACATCTTGGACATGATGGTTCAGTCGTTGGTCCATTATTGGATCACTTTTGTTTGGACACACGGCATCCGATGAATTTGCGGGTGCTTATGTGCACGTTGTTTATTTCTATGTATCATATCAAACATAATGTTTATCACATATGTGCCGTATTTATAAACAAAATATTGATTTTGTAACACCATGCAACACGTTTTGCGCAAAATACTGTTGAATGTTTGGTAGGATATTTAAATTGGATATTCAATTTTTTATGTATTTCCATACGTTTTCATTTGCCATAACTGAAATGATAAAAAAACACACAAAAGTAATACACTGCAAGTTCTGGTGTATTTTGGTATCAACAATTGGAAAAGTGACATTAATACGCAAGTGATGACACTTCAGTCCATGCAGTTGATTGTACAATTCTAAAGCTGACAAATATAATCTTCCTCAACCTTGAGGTTGTGACAGCGAAATCTCCAATCCGAGGGATGATATTCTTGATATTCTTACCCGAGTGTAAAGCATTCGAGAATATCAATCCTAGAGTAAGAGATTTTTCTGTCACACTCTCAGGGTAGGGGAAGATTGTTTTTCTCCCACCCTGTTTCCCTCACAAATACAATGATTTTGGTGATTGCATGAAATATATGCGTTGACTTCATGTTTTCCAGCAATTAACAGACTTAATTTTCCATGATCTGCTATTGTTGACGTGACGTCATGCTATTGGTGACTTCGATCGCGCCATTCTGTATTTGGTTATCTCCTCCTATAGGGTGACTAATATAATCCTCCCCTTCCATGAGGCAGTGACAGAGGAATCACCAACCCGAGGGTGATGTTTTTGGTTGTCTAAGACGAGGGTTAGACAACCAAAAATATCACCCCGAGGGTTTCAGATTTTTCTGTTACACCTTTAAGGTAGGGGATGATTATCGTTCTCATATCCTATTATTTCAGTCACAAATCCACCGACAGTAGTCTTCCATGTTTGTAAACAAAAACACATGAGGGTTGGGCATATCGTCATTCACTTTTGATGGCGTCACAATTACCGGCGACATATTTATTGATGTCACAATTGAACACGTGCTAATTGGCACGTGGTTATTTCCCGCCTAGGGGGGACTATCTTGGCAAAAATGGGAGACAACTCTAGCTGAAACGGGAGATACGTCTGTCGGGGCGAAGAGACGTAACAACTACAATGTATCCAGGCTTCATTTTTCGTAACCGCATTTTTTTCCAAAAAAATGTCATGTTGTGGCGCTCGATGTTTGTGTCAAATTTTAGTTTCGCGAATTCGATCTTGAAGAAAGTATCTTAAAGCTGGTGATCCCCAATGTTCGGTCTTTGGTCCCTTTTTATTCCTGATAAAAATAATTTTGCTAACTACTTTTTAGCAAGTTGTTTGCATACGATATGTCAATTTTATACTCATCAGAGAACAAAAATGAATTTCAACAATCAAAAGGTCTAGGGTCATGGTATTTGGTCTGCAGCATGCTGAAGTGAAGAGCTATCAAGTTTATTAAATGAAAGACATTGACCTACTTTCAAGGTCACAGGGATCAAATATGTTAAAATTTTTAAACTACTTCTGAAAAACCAAAAGGCCTTGGGTAATAATAATTTGTTTGTAGGATACCGGGGTGCTTTCAAGTTTGTTCTAAAGAATGACATTGACATACTTTCAAGGTCACAGAGGTAAACTGGGTTAAATGTGTATGATAGTATACTGGGAGATAAAGTTAATATAATTATATACTTATGCAAATACTATAGTCGTGGTCTCAGGAAACGTTAAGTAAGAGGGCACATTATAATCTAGTCTTTACTTTTAACAAACCAACATCACTGTTGCTACAAAGACCTGAACCATGTGGACGGTATATCATTGAGGATTATTGAGGATATTATAGCCAAATAGTAAGGCCCTTGCTCACATGTATTCTAAGCAGTTTGAGTATTTTAGCATTAAACATCATTCTGTTCCGTGTAATATAACTATACTACGGAACAGAATGCTGTTTAAGGCTTATATTTACATCGTTTTTCTTTTTTTTAATTTTCATTTCTAAGTGAAGCACTTTTAAATTCCAATTTCGCGGTGTTTCTTCAAAAAGTAGGACAGCCAAAGGCATGTTGTCTAGTGACTTTTCCTGTAAAACAATATTGTTCGTGAAAATAATCACAAAAAATCGATCCGATTTCCATAATTTAATCAATTTATATATCCATACATTTGATAATAGTCTTACATAAACGGTGATTATAACTTGAGAGTTGTGGTAATTTTGCTTCTATATGCTTGCTAGTGAGGAGGGGAATAGCGAACCTGTAGTGAGTCGCACCCGTGAAGAATAAATGGGCATAAAACTGTGTTTATATGATCAACATTGGAAAGCATTGTGTTTGATATGAAGATGACGTTAGAGTTACTTATATTCAACCTTTGATCTTGACCTAAAATACTACAATGTAAAACATGTTTCCGGATCATATTTCAGCCACTGCTTCATGCATAGGCATCGAATTTTGGATACAAATAAACTAAACTGGGATCACTTATTTGGCCACGAGCTCAGTACTAAATAAATTGGTGTCCAAATCATGTCTGAGCCACTGTTTCTGAAATGGGCACATTGTAGGAAAAGAATGTTTCGTATGCTAAAATGAGGTCACATTTAATCTTGACATTAAATACTAAAGATTAGTGTAATACAGGTATATGTAACCTATCATTTCTACTCTTTTATGTACGGATTTCGGTAATGGTGGAAAGCGTACTTTATTGTTAAGTAATGTGTCGCGAAGTGAACTTGGTTCCCCATATAAACTCAAGGTTTAAGTAAAGCGCAGTCGTATGTTTCCGGATGATAAATTAGCTACATATAAGGATGTTAGATTTGATGGAAAGGTACTTCATGGTCAGGCGGTGAACGTGTACTTTCTAGATGTGAACGCAAAACTATATCCATTTATCTCCACTCTCAAACTCTATTTCGGGGTGAACAGATATTTCGTGGGCTTGGTTTTCCATGAAGCTTACGCTTCGAGTTAAATCTAGGTTTACTATTGCCTCAAATGAATTTTTAAAAACGTGTCTGTTTTCCAATTCGTCAGCTGGTATTATCAATTGAACCTGCAAAGTCGTTTACAATAACAAGAAAGCAATCCAATCGTTAGAGTTTTACAGAATCTCTTTTTAAAACTAAAAATATATTTTTTAAACGATTCTCAATATTGTAATCGAAACAGAAAAATTGATGTCATTTAATTGTATCGTGGACATTTTTTTCTTAAAAACATGTTTAAAGAATTTGCGATTCATTTATTGATATAACAGTTGTGTGTTGTTTTTATTTGCTTCATTGATCAAACGTTACGTACTCTTTATAAAAAGTAAACATATTACATTCCGACTTTTAAAAATGGAATTTAAAGTAACGATTTGAAAAAAACTAAAATGAAAGAAACCCTTTCGTCGTCCTACCTTCTACATAGAACAAAAATGCCATATTGTCTTTATATGTATCTCACTTCTAAAATTATGTGTATGCTTCTCAATATTAATTGTCATTCACACGACTTTTTGCTGATTTTGTGAAGAAACTATTAAAACAAGCGAATAACTAAAATGAGCGTTCTGTACGATCATGTCAAAGGTAAACCAAAGGATACGTATGATTGACAACTGATAAGACAAAGTGAAAATAAAGATTTATTTAGGAAAGCGGAAATCAAGCAAAATTATCAAAATGTTACTATGCAAGTTATATACAGATATATATGACACTGATAAATCACAAAATGGCAAACTATGTAATCAAACAAGTTTTCTTATACATTTTAACCAAAGAAATGTTTACATATGAAATGTAAATCATAGTTGGTCATACATCTTGGTGTAAAGCCTTTACATATCGTATCTAAGGAAGTGATGTTTATACAATTCAACAATATTTGTACAACATCCTAATTCAAAAGGCCTAATACCAATACATCCTAACTAGTCACGAGTTTGCTATACATCTCAATCCAACAAGAAGTTGTTATATGCATCGTAATCCAAAAGTATTTATCATACATCTAATTCCCTCTAATGCTTGTCATCAATCGTAATTAAAAAAAAATGTTTTACATGTTTTATCAAACAAAAATCGCACGCCAATACATGCTTGTCTTGTATCGTAACTCAACAGATGTATTTCATGCATCGTAGTCCATAAAATGTCTTCAATAAACCTTTACCCAACAAATGATTGTCATACATTGTTAACCTATTTTTTTGTCATCGATCGTAATCCAACAAATACTTGTCAAACATTGTAATTAAACAGGTGATTGTCATACATTGACATTTACCAGGTAATTGCCATATATTGTGGTCCCATAAATGTCCGTCATACAACTTTACCCAACAAATGATTGTCATACATCGTTATCAAAACAGTTTTGTTTGGTCATCAATCGTAATCCAACAAATACTTGTCACACATTGTAGTTTAACAGGTGATTTTTATACATTTTAATCCAACAAATGTCGGTTATACTTCATAACCAATCATGATATAAAATCGGCGTGTTGATCATTTGTTTGAAACTCTTTACCAGTGTAAATTGAAAGATGATCATGAGACTAAAACATGTAACCTTGATTATACGAAAATGTAGGAATGAGCATCTTTAGGAAAGTCCGTAAATTACAATTCCTAAAAAAATACATAAAAATCAAAGTGGGTTATAAAATTAATCGAGTCAAAATAACGTAACATAAATTGCTTTACAGAAACATTAAAAAATCACTTAAACCAGTAAACTTATACAATATACCTTACAGATAAGTGCACACAGGTAAAATAATGCTGTAAAAATCTAAATAAGGCAAAAATTAATGCGCAACCACCTAGACGGTTGTCACTTATACATTGTAATAGCGCGTTTGTGTAATAAAGTATATACAGTGCGCTATATAAATGATGTAGTGTTTTATTATTATGTCAATCAAACAACTAAATATGGGAAATTGAAATAATTATGATGATACGGAGACTTACAATTCATACTTCGATGACTGCATGTGAATTCTAAACCATTAAACGGGAGTTGATCAAAATATGAATTGTTCCTTGTGCGTAGAATGTTATTATGGTAAAGACTGAATTCCATCCTTTGGATACAAAAACTTATGCATACACACAAAAATAGATGCGCATGCATGGTTGGGCGGTATTCTGTTATACAATTATGTTAATTAAAGTATCATTTAACGTTCCAGGTAAAAAAAAAAAATCATGATCTTAAAAGAATGTAAAAAAGGCCAATATACTCATTTACATTTATGCAACTACACATGCAACATACACAGTAGTTACTTTTGCAATGTCTCGCGGTATAACTTACAAAAGATATCGTCATATGCATGAGCAATAGAAAAAGGATCATAACTGTGCTGGCTCTAATGATTTCAAGTTATATTTGCAAACAATTTAATACTCCCCTGTTCAAAATAAGGAGAGATAATGTTAAATCACATTTTCATTCTTTTGTAAATTTTGCATGAAACATGGTGTTTGTTCCTTTGAATAGAGATTGTTTCCCAAAAATTGATTGATGATTAATGTGATAAATTCCTTTCAAAATCAGTAATAATAAAATAACCATTATAAATAATTATAACAACAAATTGGATATGAACAATTAAATTATATCTAGTATATAGCTTTTACGATAACAACAGTATTGGCAATTGTTCGTAAAATAAGTGATTTTGCTACATGTACCTAGATGTTGATCACTGAACATGACTAAAGTACAATGCATAAAAGGCTAAATATGAGCCAAAATTAATTGTTTTACTTCCAACAGGACGTTGTATTATATACAAAGTCAATTTCGAAAAGTATAACTTTACGAGATTGCTCAACAAAAATCACCAAAAAAACACCACAAAACCAACAATGAATGTTATCTTACAAGTGTTTTCAAAAGAAATCAAAATGGGCATAATTCCTTATGATTGTAGTGACGAATCACTATGTCTTATTGACAGCTAAATAAAACCAAAAGATATATATACTCTATAAAAACATAGGTAATGCGTGTACATTTCAACAAAATTAGTTATCAGTACTTCCTTGTGATTTAAAGTCAAACAAATCATAGAGAAAACACTATTCATTAACAGCAAAGTTTACAGCAATTATCGTTGCAGCAGCACGCCAAACTAGATTTGCATCTTTCAAGAACTAGATTGGTATGCATCATAGTTGTTCAGTCCCACTTCAACTTATGGAAACTGACACAGGGATGGCAGTTGTAATGCATCAAGAACAGCTTTTATTGGTGTCACGATAGCGTTTCCATATGATGTTGTCCCAATCGCTATGCCAATGCAGGTGAGTTCCTGTCCCGCAGGCGTTTTATCTACGTAGAAGACACCCGCACCAGAATCCCCAGGCTGGAAGTAAGTTCCATAACCCGCAACTCCAGAAATTTCCATTTGATTTCTCATCGTAACACTTGCACCAGGTTGACCGAACACTCCCATGTCTGCAGAAACTGCCGATATCACTGTGCCCACACTTTTAAGATTACCTTTTGTAACATGAGTCTCCGCTCCAAACTTGACGATTCTTTTGTCACCGTCAATCGTGCTTGGGTCCAGGTGAATGTTCCCCGAGTTAAAGTATGGAAGGTCGTCAAATCCTACAAAAACATCAATATCATTATGTTCATATAATAATTAACGATTGTTTACTTAATCATCGTCTTCATGGAGAATATTATTCACTAGCTATGACGTACATGAGTTTCTGAAAGCTCAAAAAAAGCAATTTCAAAACTTGAAGTCAAAGGCAATATGAGTGGACAGCAACAAGAACTTAGAAAAGAGAGAGAAAGACACTACAAATGTAGGTCTCATAATAGCACTTGCTTCGGGAAATGGAATATATATTTTTCTATACAATTGTCATGTCAAATCTGGGAACGGGTGTCAGTCTTAAAGGATACACAGACGTGACAGAACTGCTGGTATAACTGCCAAATGTGCCACAGACAAACTGAATGGTGACCGCTGGCGCACCATGATAAGTTTGTATGTGACACATGTTGCAGTTATAACAGTAAGTCTGCCACATATGTGCGGTTTATTGCTTATATTAACATTTTAAGGATGTTCTCAATTTACAAAATTTAAACAATTAATATTTTGTAAGGAACTATTCAAGTGTCGTAAAACATTTTACCCATCATGTTATTGCGGCCTATATTCGGCGCACACACTCAACGTAAGCCCACAGAAACCAAGTCAAAGTAGTCTCATATCATGAATCTGCTACTGGCAGTACGTTTGTAGTCATATTGAAGGGCTTTGCAAAATAAAAAATGTCAACAATATCCGAAAACCGATAAATCGAGGAACGTTTATGAGAAACCATTGTCTAAGTAGAAAATACCAAACATTCCAGAAGAGCAAGCGACTCCTTCATCATTTCGACATTTGTCATTTTTTTCTTAATAGAGTCCATGCAATGTAATGTTTTAAAAGACAGGACTAGATCAGTAAAAACAAAGACATACTTATAACACTTCTCATAAAACACGTTGCAGTTTCATTAAATATTTTGAAACAGAAAGTGCTTAAGATAAACTGCAGAATATGGCTCTAAAGTACCCTTGTCTCTCGTTCAAGGAAGAGACCAAAAATATCCGCAACTCCACGTTTTCCTTTTCAATATTTCAGTTTTTCGCCGATTGGCAAAGTTCAGTACCTAGGAGGAGTTACGTTATAGTGTCCACATTTCACTTTTTAAAGTGAAATTGTAAATGCCCCAGTATGAAATTTCCGCTGCTAATCCCTTTATAAACTCCACCACGTGTAAGAAGAAATGTGGATATGGAAGCAATTACACCAATTCCATTTTGACATTTTTTCGCTTACATTTTTTTTTTCATCACAACTTTTCAATTAATTATTTGTCAAAAGATGGCTAACCCATTGGCAGTGCAATGTGACAGCAGAGTGGCATGCTAAGCTGAGTGACTTCGGAATGGTATTTCATTAAGGTAGCATTCTAAAGATCTGCGCTATCGCTAGCAGGTAAATACATGAACATGCATTCAGTTCTTATTTTTGATTATGCTTTGCAAATATTATATATTTTGTAAAGGTACTTATTACCGATGTTACTTTTGCTGATTAAATCAATTTCATAACGCTTTTTTGTTACAGTTAACCCTATTTCCGTATCAAAGGACATGGAACGAACTCAATGGGTGGAGTACCAGGGACCGGGTATGTATTCATTTCATTTTTTCCTCTTTTCACTCCATGTATTCATTTTCGTTTTTATTTAGAAACAGTTAACTAGCACTTATTAAACAGATGTTACGCTATAGTCAGATGGAATACAGTATAACTTACCGGCATAATTCAACCGAATCTCATTATCCATAGCAAATTCCCCTCTGTGTGGAAGTCTTGTAGGTTCGGAAATCAGGACAACTGCTGCATCAACACTCGGCTGAGCATGTGGAGCAAATACTGCTTTTTTAACTTCACCACAACGGAAGTTGAACTGGTTCCCTGAGGGGAACGCAAACGTTGTTGATGGCGGTTGTTCGACAAACGTACTGCTGCTTACAATGTTGTATCCGTTTGAGTCGATCCCATAGATTGCGTGTGCGCATGTCAGAAATGCCATGTGACCATTCAATTTGACAAAAGGGCCAATGGTTGCACACATTGGCTTCCCTTCGACTGCATATTGACAACCCATCCTTAATTGCTGATGGTAATTGCTACTTTTTGAAGTAGAATATGTACCAGGACCAAACTCAAAGAAACCTTCTCTGATATCAGTATCAAAACAGGTAAGTCCGCTTTTCAGTGTTTTAGGGAAAATCTTTTCACCAAAAGGAATAAACCCTTTCGAACTGCAGTAAATAACAACGCATAAACACGGCCTGATATGTTTTCCATTTTCCTTCGATTTAACCGGAGACATGCTGATAACATTGATGTTGCGGTGATTTTCTAAAAGAGTGTCACAGTTTTCTGTGATACATTTCTTCAACATTCTTCTTTCTTCTTTTGTGATGTAATTTCCGTTTTCCTGGCAGAAGTTTTTCACCTGCATAGCTTCGGTATTTACAGTTTTTGGGTTTCGGAATAAAACCTCTTGCCCGAAATCCGTTTGATGTTTATCTCTAACGCATTCTTTGTCATAAACAATAAACACCGTTTTGTCCTTTGGGCATGTCGTTGGTACAACCAAACGTTCTTCTGTTTTATACTTTTCTGATAAAAGACGCATTACATCCGCGGGAAACCCTTTTTCGGACGGATATTTATCTATATAAGAGAGAAAGTAGATACTTTTTTGTCTGGTCAAACGCAATCACACCCCAATCCGCATGCAATTTAGCTATATAAAAAATGTATGTCTTTGCAGTATTGGTTACTTTATGAATAGCGGTTTTTTTAAATGAAATTTTCCAGACGTTTGCAGTCACGGCTGTTATAACATATACGTTCACGTGTTTTACACTCTTCTAAAATGAATAAGTAAATGGTTGTTTGTTTTTATTTGTTTATTGAGCTCATTTTGAGTTCATTTAAATACAGAGCAAAACAAAACTTCCGACAATTAAAATTTCTAACATATAGATATAGGCAACCAATCTTAAGAATTTAAATACCGTTCGATTATTATAAAAGGCACCGTTTATATGCAATCGAACCTTTAACAACATGTTACAATTTTGGCTTCAATAAACATTCCGCAAAAACTGGTTATATACTTGATATTGTGAAAAGAGAGAATGGCGTTTATACTCACTGTCTTTGTTACTGCTTTCCACTGGCGTTTGTCGTGGGACTTTGGTTTTCACGCTTGTGCTTCTTAATGCCAACTTTGTGAAAGCTATAACAATAATAAAAAAGACAGTTAAGAATATAATTTTCCATATTACAGGCAAAATGAAGTCAACAATTAAAATAATATTAATCGAAACATTTATCTCAGTAAAAAGTTTAAAAAATACCGTGATGACAATAACAAATTAAAATACGCTGGAGGGCTCTATATTTGAGGACGATGGAGTAACTTTTTATGTCTGATCTGGGAATCAAATCACAGACGTATTGGTGGAGAAAGAGTGTGTTATCCACCGCGCTACCATACCATGATTGTAAGTATAGTACACATTACACATATTATTTAAGTACAGCAGTATAACATTTTAGTATTAAAAGTTACTTGTAAGGCCACACAAATCTTATATTGGTAACGTTATACATGGTTTTATAGGCATCGTTATTTTTCAAATATAAATGTAAACAATTGCTTTCTTCCTTTGATTTTTTTGCAAAATTCTTCTTTAGACTACTTCTCATATTATTTATCAGTTCATTTCGAATCGCAGTTGCCTTATAATCATATTATAGCTTTTGATAACTCCAAACTGACAATGAAACCGTGAAAGCCTTGATGATGGACGAATGTACCAAATCCTCAGGAACAATGTTCAGTATTTCTTTTTTGGATCTGATTAAGTATGCCTATCCGTATAATTGTTTACTCTATGTATGCTGCCCATTCGTCCATATATTGTGCAATATATGGACTAATATTATATTGCAACAATATAACAAACTACATTAATGATACGCTAAGGAATTTATATATACATTTGTATTCCCCATTACCCATAACAAAAAGAGTCCTTTTCATATTTACTGACTGGCAAAAGTATAATGTACTTGATAAAAGGCATCAAATTATTTTATTTCATCATGATAAAGTCAATTTTAAATCATAAACGTATAATTTCATTTATTGTAGACACATTTTATACATAATCAAAACTACTGTCAACAAGCAAAACAAGGCATACAGTCTCGCAGAACGCCGTAGGGGTCATTTCAATTTTTCACTTGAGCCTGGAATCACGAAAACACACATTTTAAACATACTTGTGAGGTTAGTATTCTGTGTGTCCGCCATAGTTGTTAAGTACTGCTAAACAGCGTTTTCTTATGGACAACACTGGTCGACGAATGACATTTTGAGGGATTAAACTACTTTCCTCTGTAAGGCATTGGCCTATCTAAACGCCACGTCATATTACGTCCCACAACTGTTCCATAGGATACAGGTCAGAATTCAACGACGGCCATCGACGACCGTTGACATGTTGCTGCCGTTGGAGGTCAGTATAGACTCCATGTGTAAGGACGGGCGTTGCCGTGCTGACGTTGAGTTAGATCATTATTAAGAGCTACACGGTACGGCAAGAGGCGCCAGAATGTTGTCCTTGTAGTCCACAGCGTTCACTCTACCACGGATTACGTAAGGCTGCGTCTTGTGATCACGGCTTATTACTGACGGTATCAAAACGCTTCCAACTCCAATAATGCATTGCAACAATATATTTATTATCAAAGTGTATACTAAATTTTACCGTTCAGTATATAAAGGTCGCTTATCGATCACTGTCAGACCCTCCTTGGAGAGATGATAGAGATAAAGACGTTTTGTTGATGTCTTTTCATTTATATATATGCAATCGAACCATTAACAACATGTTACAATTTTGGCTTCAATAAACATTCCGCAAAAACTGGTTATATACTTGATATTGTGAAAAGAGAGAATGGCGTTTATACTCACTGTCTTTGTTACTGCTTTCCACTGGCGTTGATCGTGGGACTTTGGTTTTCACGCTTGTGCTTCCTAATGCCAACTTTGTGAAAGCTATAACAATATCAAAAAGACAGTTAAGAATATAATTTTCCATATTACAGGCAAAATGAAGTCAACAATTAAAATAACATTAATCGAAACATTTGTCTCAATAAAAAGAAAAAAAATATCGTGATGACAATAACAAATAAAAATACGCTGGAGGGCTCTATGTGTGAGGGCAACGGAGTAACTTTTCACGTCTGATCTGGGAATCAAATCACAGACGTATTGGTGGAGGAAGAGTGTGTTATCCACCGCGCTACCATACCATGATTGTAAGTATAGTACACATTACACATATTAATTACTTACAGCAGTATAACATTTTAGTATTAAAAGTTACTTGTAAGGCCAAACAAATCTTATATTGGTAACGTTATACATAGTTTAATAGGCATCGTTATTTTTTCAAATATAAATGTAAACAAATGCTTTATTCCTTTGAATTTTTTGCAAAATTCTTCTTTAGACTACTTCTCATATCATTTATCAGTTCGTTTCGAATCGCAGTTGCCTTATAATCATATTATAGCTTTTGATCACTAAAAACTGACAATGAAACTGAAAGCCTTGATGATGGACGAATGTACCAAATCCTCAGGAACAATGTTCAGTATTTCTTTTTTGGATCTGATTAAGTATGCCTATCCGTATAATTGTTTACTCTATGTATGCTGCCCATTCGTCCATATATTGTGCAATATATGGACTAATATTATATTGCAACAATATAACAAACTACATTAATGATACGCTAAGGAATTTATATATACATTTGTATTCCCCATTACCCATAACAAAAAGAGTCCTTTTCATATTTTCTGACTGGCAAAAGTATTATGTACTTGATAAAAGGCATCAAATGATTTTATTTCATCATGATAAAGTCAATTTGATAATATAAATGTAAAATTCAATAATTGCAGACAAATTTTACATAGAATCAGGACTGCCGTTAACTAGCAAAAATGCATACAGTTCCACAGAACGACGTAGGTGTCATTTCCATTTTTCAAGTGATCAAGACGTCACAACACCAATCATTTACACCTGAGATGTCAGTATAGTGTGTGTCCTCTATAGTTATTGCCTACTGCGGCATATGTACATAGCTTTTTCTCATTGACAACACTAAACGTCTTATGGCATTTTGAGGGATTCGGCGCCATTCCTCTAAACACGACATCATATCTCGTACCTAAAGTGTATTTTAGGATTGAGTTTAGGCCATCGAAGTACGTTGACATGTTGCTACCGTCAGAAGCCAGTAGAGACTTCGCTGTGTAATGACGGGCGTTGTCGTGCTGAAGATGAGTTGTTGGACCATTATTCTGGATAAACGGTTCGGCAATACGTGCGATAATGATTTCCGTGTAGTTAACAGCGTTCACTCTACCACAGATTACGTGTAGCTGCGTTTTGCGATCATGACTAATTCCTGCCTATGTCATGACCCTTTAACCACCAATTTGGCAACAATATATTCATTTCAAAGTGTATACTTAATGTTGCCGTTCAGTATAGGAGGGTCGCCTATCGATGGCTGCCAGAAACTCATTGAAGGGATGAACTTTTCCTATATATGTGCTATGCAATTTTTAGGCACAACATAACAATTAAATCTTCACTAAACAAGTCGCAAATAACAAGTTGGATACTTGATAATGTTAAAAAAGAGAATGGCAATATTCATATGATGTGTTTGTACTCACTGTCTTTGTAACCGCTATCCCCAGACGTTGATCGTTGATCTTTAGTTTCTAAGCCTGTGCTGCTTAATGCCAACTTCGTAAAACCTTCGCAATAATAGAAAGCACAGTGAAGTAATATTTTAAGTTCCATTAAAGGTAAAATGAAGTCAACAATAACGTCAATCTCAAAATTAATAACAACATATCGAGATGATAATGAAAAAAAAAAAAAAATTCTCCGGAGGGCTCTATGTTGGAGGAAAATGGAGTACCCGGAGAAAACCACATGGTCGGGCAGGGGAACCTTTAACTTTCACGTCTGATCAGGGAATAGAACCCCAGATGTCTTGGAAGAGGGAGCGTGTGTTATCCACCGCGCTTCAAGAACATGATTGTAAATATAGTACGCATTGCACATGTCGGCTGCAGTACAGAAATTTTTCAGTTTTTATCATTAAAAATTACTTGTCAGACAAATAAAGTTTAAATTGGTACCGTTATGCAAAGTTTCAAAGGCATCGTTATTTTCTTGCTGTATTGTGCACATGTTTCGGACAATTAAGATTTTGATTTGTTTACATTATTTGGCTTTTGGTTATCGACAAACAAAAATGTGAACAAATGCTTTCTGCCGTTGATTTTCTTGCAAAATTCTTCTTTAGACTACTTCTCGTATCAGTTATAAGTTCGTTTTTAATTGCAGTTGCCCTATAATTATATTTAAGGAAGGTACATGCACATTTGTACTTTCATTACCCATAACACAAATAGTCCTTTTTCATATATGCTGCCTGGCAAAATTAGTGTATGCACTTGATAAAAGGCATCAAATTATTGTATTTCATCATGAAAACGTGAATTTATATCATAACTGTAACATTTTATTATTGCAGACACATTTTACACAGAATCAGGGCTGCCGTCGATTTTTAAAATGCATAGTCTCACAGAACGACGTAGGAGTCATTTCAATGATTCAAGTGACCATGACGTAACAACAACACACATTAACACTTAGGATGTCAGTATCTTGTGTGTTCTCCAAAGTTGTTGACAACTGCTACACAGCATTTTTGTATGACAACACTAAATGTTTAATGACATTTTGAGGGATTCGACGCCATTCCTCTAAACGCGACGTCATATCTCGTACCATAACTTGTTCTTTAGGATTGAGACCCAGCAGGTAGGGCGTAAGAATTGTACCTGCTGCCCCCAATTGCATGATCGTAACCTCACTTTTGGCCATTTGTTGAGCGTTCGCCCCTGTGAGGAACGCTTTTGGTTCTGTCCCCTGGCCGAGACATACCAAAGTCTTTAAAATTGGTAGTTTCTACTCCTGCTTTACGCTCAGCAAATAAGTAGTGGGACGACTGGTTCGCCCGTTGTCAGTATAATGTGACCGGGTGGGGCGTCCTACTGGGTGTCTTCGGCAGTATGTTTCCGTGAGGTAGCACTATAAAGACGGCATCAGTTCCACGCTAACACAAGGGGACAAACACGAACATATCGCAGCCTCCCAAAATACACACACATACACTACACGCATGCATCTTGCACACAGGGGAGGCCGTCCTTAAATGACCTTAGCTGTTAATAGGACGTTAAACAAAATCAAACAAACAAACAAACAAAAAACGTTAGGATGGTGTTCGGGACTCGACGACGGCCATCGAAGAACGTTGACACATAACTGCCGTAGGAAGCCAGAAGAGACTTTGCTGTGTAATGACGGGCGTTGCCGTGCTGAAGATGAGTTGTTGGACCATTAATCTGGTTAAAATGTACGGCAATAGGCGCGGGGAAGTTTTCCGTGTAGTAAACAGCGTTCACTTTACCACGGATTACGTGCAGCTGCGTTTTGCGATCATGACTAGTTCCTGCCTATATCATGACGCTTCCACCATCAATTTTGCAATAATATATACATTTCAAAGTGTATACTTAATTTAGCCGTTCAGTATATAAAGGTCGCTAATCGATGGCTGCCAGAAACTCATTGAAGGGATGAAAACGCTAAAGACGTGTTGTTGATGTTTTTTAATATACTGTATATGTGCTATGCAAAAGTTTAGCAAAATATAACGATTAAAGCTTCAATTAACTTGTCGCAAATAACAAGTTAGATACTTGAGAATGTTAAAAAATGGGAATGGCAATATTCATACAGTGTGTCTTTACTCACTGTCTTTGTAACCGCTATCCCCAGGCGTTGATCGTTGATCTTCAGTTTCTAAGCCTGTGCTGTTTAATGTCAACTTTGTACGACCTTCGCAATAATAAACAAGCACAGTGAAGTAATATTTTAAGTTCCATTTCAGGTAAAATGAAGTCAAAATAACATCAATTTCAAAAGGAATAACAATATATCGGGATGATAATGAAAACACTAAATACTTTCTCCGGAGGGCTCTATGCTGGAGGGAAATGGAGTACCCGGAGAAAACAATATGATCGGACAGGGAATCCTTTACATTTTCACGTCTGAATTGGGAATCGAACCCCAGACGACTTGGTTGAGGGGGAGTGTGTTATCCACCGAGGTTCCAGACCATGATTGTAAATATAATATACACTACACAATTCAACTTCAGTACAGCAATATTGCACTTTTCTTATTAAATGATTACTTATGAGGCAAAGAAAGCTTAAATTGTGCATAAGTTTCGTAGGCATCGTTATTTTCTCGATGTATTGTACACATATGTTTTGGAACAATTTAAACAGTTTTGTTTACATTGTTTGGTTTTTAGCAATCAAAATAACAAATGTCAACAAATGCTTTATTCCGTGAAATAGTTTTCTTTAAACAACTGATCGTATCAGTTATAAGCTCGTTTTTAATTTCAGTTGCCCTATAATTATATAATAGTTCTTGATAGTTCCAAACTGAAACCATGAAAGCATTGATGGTGGACGTATGAACCTGTCTCGTGAACAATGTCCAGTTATAGCATCTTATACACGCTTACATGTTGCAGGGGGAATTTCGTGAAATTTCCTTTATCGGTTTTCCTGGTTGATATATCTTTTGTTTTACAAATGAGCACGTATCCCTTTCATTTAACCCATTTAGTATCATAAAAAATACATTCATATATGATGCATATAACGGGAGTAATTTTAACAAAAAAAGCAAGGCAGTTAACACAATTATCTGTTATGGCACACAATATGTTTAAATCAGGATACACTTAGAGATCGTGGAAACTAGGTTATTAGTACAGTTGTGGGATAGCAGAACTTAACACGATGTGCGGTTGCCAATTGATGTAATAAATATGTGTGCATGGTGTTGTCACCATGCAAAACTGTGCGATAATATCTAGCGCACAACTCGAAAGGTATTGCGGTAAAAAAAATAATATTTAAGAGTTTACTGTGGATAACTACTATTTAAACTTATATTTTCATGATTTAATTATGTTGCCATATTCTAGTCCGAGTTACATGATTATCAATTAATCTTACAATAATTGACATGGCACGTAAGGAAATTGATTTGAAACTATTTAAACCGACTAGTGTATTCCGTAATATACGTGTACGTACTGTATGGAAGAGCATGAGGGCCATGTAGGCAAAAAATAAATTTCTAATTTCTTGCTATAATTCGAAATTGTTTAGATTTTACTGCAGGTAAAGTTCTACGGAAGTTATCTCCTTAAGTTTATGAATGTCCTAATGAACAAATTGATCAACCTCCCTAACCTATATTGCTTTTAATTAAAGTTGGATCTGATTATTTCCATCAACCACCTTTAAAGATGTGTGATTAGATATGGTAAGTTTGGGAATTATTTAATCTTGTACAATAGGTTCAACATAAAAGTAAAGTGTGTATGGTTGCAAAACGAAATTTCTGTACAAATTTGAGTAAATAAGCCTTGCAGTGAACACAAACATTCGAAAAGGAACAGATATGTTACTTACTTAAATATTGTTTTTCCTATTTAATAAGGTTTAATCAAACTTAAAGGATTCATAATTACTGGAGAATAACGATATAACTGATTTCGATCACATAGAAAGTTATCATCATTGAAATAATTGACATTTTATTACAATGAATCTGACCATAAACATTTTATAATATTTGATAAGCAAGCATATACATAAACGTATTGTAGAAGTTCTTAGATCATTCCTCGATGACAATACATTTCTGAATGCTTACGTTTATCGTAACAAAGAGATGCGGCAAAAAGGGAAAAAAATCATCATCTGATCATTCACTATAGATATTATTTATTGCACAAGTATTCAATTATAGGAAAAATCATCTTGACCTGATACATATCCATTACTTATCACATCAATATCATAAATTAAGCTCATAAACAAGTCAATCTTAGTTTTATCATTTTACCTAACCAGCTGTACTTTGAATAACAACAGAATTCTCGCGAAGCCGTCAGTTACGTGATACATTCCCTTTTTCGTTTATTTTTATTTCAAAAATATCGTTACGTAGAAAGTTATAATGTTCGCTAACCATGTCATTTTGAACATCAATGTTCTTCTTCATGAAATGTTATTGTTGTTTTACAATCACTAAACAAGATAAGTGTTTTGATCTGGAAAGGTTGTGGATGATGTAATGTTTATCAGTAATTTCAACTTGCAACAATAGTGTGTATGGTTGTAGATCGAAATATAATATACAAATGCACTTACTTTTTGAAAAAAACATTGCGGTAAAAATAAAAATTTCAAATTAAATACAGTTATTACTTACGATCTGTTGTTGCATCAAGTGACAATAAAGTGGATATGAAAAACAAGATCTTATTAAGTAAAACAAGACAAACCTAGGGGTTGAATAAAATTGGTAAAAGTTATTTTTTTAATACTTTTAAATCTCCAAATACTGTCGCAAGACCGTCAGTAACGAGATTAACTCACTTAATGCATCTTCTGCAGATTACTATTGTTAAAAATATCATAATGTAGAATTTCATCATGTTCCCTAAACAATGTCACTTTGAATATAAATGAACTTTTACATGAAATGTAATGTCATTATTGTTTTTCAACTACTAATCAAGATGAGTGATTTGATTTGGAAAGGCTGTGGATGATGTGACGTTCATCAGTAATTTCAACTTACAACAATAGTATGTATGGTTGTAGATCGAAATATAATATATAAAATACAAAGTATGGCGGTAAACATAAACATTTGAAATGAAATACAGTGATTACTTACGATCTGTTGTTGCTTTAAGTGACAATCAGGTGGATATGGAAAAAAAGAGAGGACAATTCATACCCTGATTAATCATCATTAACATTATTGATTACATTCATAATCAATTACCTTTTGAAGACACCAATTATTAAGTCTAACTAATGAACGAGTCTACGTATATTTTAATGAACTGGGTTTTAAATGAAAGTAATTGGATAAGATTCAATATAATTGTGTTTTATCAAAGATAAAGGATTCATTATTCACGCAATAAAATATATCATTAATTTGTTTTAGGTTCAAAAAGCCAATCAGTTAACAAACATTAACAATTGGTCAAAATTCATCATGCTGTGTATTTTATGATCTTATTAAGTAAAACAAGACAAACCGAGAGGGTTGTAGAAAATTGGTAAAACTTAATTCTAAAATACTTTTAAATCTCTAAATACTGTCGCAAGACCGTCAGCAACGAGATGAACTCACTTAATTGCATCTTCTGCAGATTATTAATTTCAAAAATATAATGTCATGAATGCCTGTTTTGTTTTGCAACTACTAATCAAGATGAGTGATTTGATCTGGAAAGGCTGTGGATGATATGACGTTGATCAGTAAATTCAACTTGCAACAATAGTGTGTATGGTTGTAGATCGAAATATGATATACTTAATTTTGGAAAAAAGTAAGGCGGTCACGCAAACATTTGAAATGAAATACAGTTATTACTTACGATCTGTTGTTACATCAAGTGAAAATTAGTTGGATATGAAAAACAAGAGAGGACAATTAATCACCAGATAAATCATCGTAAACATTATTGATTACACACATAATCAATCACCATTTGAAGACATCAATTATGAAGTCTAACTAATGAACAAGTCTACGTAGATTTAAATCAACAGGGTTTTAAGTGAATGTAATTTACTCAGTTTCAATATAATCGTGTTTTATCAAAGATAAAGGATTTATAATTCAAGCAATAAAATATATCATTAATTTGATTCAGGTTCAAAACGACAATCAGTTAACAAACATTAACAATTGGTCAAAATTCATCATGCTGTGTATTTTATGATCTTATTAAGTAAAACAAGACAAATCTAGGGATTGTAGAAAATTGGTAAAAGTCAATTCTTGAATACTTTTAAATCTCCCAATACTGTCGCAAAACCGGCAGCAACGATATGAACTCACTTAATTGCATCTGCTGCAGATTATTAATATCAAAAATATAATGTAGAACTTCAGCATGTTCCCTAAACAATGTCACTTTGATTACCAATGGACTTTTAAATGAAATATAATGTTATTATTATTTTTCAACTACTTATCAAGATGAGGGATTTGATCGGGAAAGGGAGTGGATGATGTAACATTCATCAATAATTTAAACTTGCAACAATAGAGGGTATGGTTGTGGATCGAAATTTAATAGACTTAATTTTCGAAATAAGTATGGCGGTAAACATAAACATTTGAAATGAAATACAGTTATTACTTACCAGCTGTTGTTGCATCAAGTGACAATCAGGGGGATATGAAAATTAAGAGAGGAAAATTAATCAACTGATAAATCACCATAAAAATTATTGATTACATTCATAATCAATAACCGTTTGAAGAAACCAATTAGTAAGTCTAACTAATGAACGATTTTACGTATATTTTAATCAACAGTGTTTTAAATGAAAGTAACTTGATAAGATTCAATATAATTGGGTTTTATCAAAGATAAATGATTCATAATTCACGCACTAAAATATATCATTAATTTGATTCAGGTTCAAAACGACAATCAGTTAACAAACATTAACAATTGGTCAAAATTAATCATGCTGTGTATTTTATGATCTTATTATGTAAAACAAGACAAATCTAGGGGTTGCAGAAAATTGGTAAAAGTTATTTTTTTAATACTTTTAAATCTCGAAATACTGTCGCAAGACCGTCAGTAACGAGATGAACTCACTTAATTGCATATAAATCATCGTAAACATTATTGATTACATTCATAATCAATAACCGTTTGAAGAAACCAATAAGTAAGTCTAATTAATGAACGAGTTTACGTGGATTTCATTCAGCAGAGTTATAAGCAAATGTTATTTGATAAGGTTCAATATAATCGTGTTTTATCAAAGATAAAGGATTCATTATTCACGCAATAAAATATATCATAAATTTGATTCAAGTTAAAAACGATAATCTGTTAACAAACATTAACAATTTGTCAAAATTCATTATGCTGTGTATTTTATGATCTTATTAAGTAAAACAAGACAAACTAAGAGGGGTGTAGAAAATTGGTAAAAGTTAATTCTTGAATACTTTTAAATCTTCGAATACTGTCGCAAGACCGTCAGTAACGAGATGAACTCACTTAATTGCATCTTCTGCAGATTACTATTGTTAAAAATATCATAATGTAGAATTTCATCATGTTCCCTAAACAATGTCACTTTGATTACCAATGGACTTTTAAATGAAATATAATGTCATTATTGTTTTTCAACTGCTAATGAAGATGAGTGCCTTGATCTGGAAAGGCTGTGGATGATATGACGTTGATCAGTAAATTCAACTTGCAACAATAGTGGGTATGGTTGTGGATCGAAATTTAATAGACTTAATTTTCGAAAAAAGTATGGCGGTAAACATAAACATTTGAAATGAAATACAGTTATTACTTACCAGCTGTTGTTGCATCAAGTGACAATCAGGGGGATATGAAAATTAAGAGAGGAAAATTAATCAACTGATAAATCACCATAAAAATTATTGATTACATTCATAATCAATAACCGTTTGAAGAAACCAATAAGTAAGTCTAACTAATGAACGAGTTTACGTATATTTTAATCAACCGTGTTTTAAATGAAAGAAATTTGATAAGATTCAAAATAAATGGGTTTTATCAAAGATAAAGGATTCATTATTCACGCAATAAAATATATCATTAATTTGTTTTAGGTTTAAAAAGCCAATCAGTTAACAAACATTAACAATTGGTCAAAATTCATCATGCTGTGTATTTTATGATCTTATTAAGTAAAACAAGACAAATCTAGGGGTTGTAGAAAATTGGTAAAAGTTAATTCTTGAATACTTTGAAATTTCTCAATACGGTCGCAAGATCGTCAGTAACGTGTTGAACTCACTTAATTTCATCTTCTGCAGATTATTAATGATAAAAATATCATAGTGTAAAATGTCAGCATGTTCCCTAAACAATGTCACTTTGAATATCAATAGTCTTTTAAATGAAATGTAATGTCATTATTGTTTTTCAACTACTAATCAAGATGAGTGATTTGATCTGGAAAGGCTGTGGATGATGTGACGTTTATCAGTAATTTCAATTTGCGGCAATAGTGTGTATGGTTGTAGATCGAAATACAATAAACTTATTTTTAAAAAAAAAGTAAGGCGGTACACATAAACATTTGAAATGAAAAACAGTTGCTACTTACGAGCTGTCGTTGCATCAAGTGACAATCAGGTGGATATGAAAAACAAGAGAGGAAAAATCATCACCTGATAAATCACCGTAAACATAATTGATTACGCTCATAACTGATAACCTTTTTAAGACATCAATTATTAAGTCTTACAAATGAACGAGTCTACGTATATTTTAATCAACAGTGTTTTAAATGAAAGTAATTTGATAAGATTCAATATAATTGTGTTTTATCAAAGATAAAGGATTCATTATTCACGCAATAAAATATATCATTAATTTGTTTTAGGTTCAAAAAGCCAATCAGTTAACAAACATTANAATGAACGAGTCTACGTATATTTTAATCAACAGTGTTTTAAATGAAAGTAATTTGATAAGATTCAATATAATTGTGTTTTATCAAAGATAAAGGATTCATTATTCACGCAATAAAATATATCATTAATTTGTTTTAGGTTCAAAAAGCCAATCAGTTACCAAACATTAACAATTGGTCAAAATTCATCATGCTGTGTATTTTATGATCTTATTAAGTAAAACAAGACAAACCGAGAGGGTTGTAGAAAATTGGTAAAACTTAGTTCTAAAATACTTTTAAATCTCTAAATACTGTCGCAAGACCGTCAGCAACGAGATGAACTCACTTAATTGCATCTTCTGCAGATTATTAATTTCAAAAATATAATGTAAAGTTTCAACATGTTCTCTAAACAATGTCACTTTGAATATCAATGGACTTTTAAATGTTATGTCATTAATGCCATTTTTGTTTTGCAACTACTAATCAAGATGAGTGATTTGATCTGGAAAGGCTGTGGATGATATGACGTTGATCAGTAAATTCAACTTGCAACAATAGTGTGTATGGTTGTAGATCGAAATATGATATACTTAATTTTGGAAAAAAGTAAGGCGGTCACGCAAACATTTGAAATGAAATACAGTTATTACTTACCAGCTGTTGTTGCATCAAGTGAAAATTAGTTGGATATGAAAAACAAGAGAGGACAATTAATCACCAGATAAATCATCGTAAACATTATTGATTACACACATAATCAATCACCATTTGAAGACATCAATTATGAAATCTAACTAATGAACAAGTCTACGTAGATTTTAATCAACAGGGTTTTAAGTGAATGTAATTTACTCAGTTTCAATATAATCGTGTTTTATCAAAGATAAAGGATTTATAATTCAAGCAAAAAAAAATATATCATTAATTTGATTCAGGTTCAAAACGACAATCAGTTAACAAACATTAACAATTGGTCAAAATTCATCATGCTGTGTATTTTATGATCTTATTAAGTAAAAGAAGACAAATCTAGGGATTGTAGAAAATTGGTAAAAGTCAATTCTTGAATACTTTTAAATCTCCCAATACTGTCGCAAAACCGGCAGCAACGATATGAACTCACTTAATTGCATCTGCTGCAGATTATTAATTTCAAAAATATAATGTAGAACTTCAGCATGTTCCCTAAACAATGTCACTTTGATTACCAATGGACTTTTAAATGAAATATAATGTCATTATTG